TTTATTCTTGTATGTAATTTATATTTATTTGTTATTATACAAATTAAGTTCTTCATAAATTTTATGTAATTACTTATCTAAATTATCTAATAAAGATATGAGCAAGACCTCACTTTAAAAAAAAAAAAAAAAAAAAAAATATTTATATTTATATTTAATGTTTCTAAATATCTTGTAAAACAAATGAAAAGTGAAATGAAGCTACAATTACTGAAATTGTAAGGCCTATTTTAAAACTTTAAAAAAAGAACAAAATACTACTCCAGCTACAAAGCTTATAAATGATCAATGTGTACAACATTATAAATAACATGATATAGTAATTTATCTAATATAAATTACAAAAACAAATATCTTTATTATTACTAATCATCTTTTTTTAGAAATTATTTAGTCATTTAGCTGCTTTGAACAAAATTCTTGATCATCTAAATTATCCTAGAAGTTAAATTGAGAAATTATTTTTCTTTGAAGCAATGTCTCCAGAGATATCTGATATTGAAAAGACATCAATATTGGATAAACAAGATTATGTGCCTGAAGTATCAAGAAAGAAATTACTAGTACTAGTTCTTCTTTGGATAAGTAATAAGGTATTATTTTCATTCTAATTTCTTTTTTTTTAAAAAATATAAGAAACATACTAATACTTAATCATAGAAAAATTGTATTCAAAAGCTTGCTAATAATATAATTAAATGAACTTATTTAGAAAAATTAAATTCTGGAGGTTATCATTCTTATACTTTTTCTATATCACGTGAGATTGTTAAAATAGATAATCAATAATAGGCTAAGATATGATTATTAATTTCTGAAAAGCCAAAAGATTTTTCAATTTGGGCATGTGATCAAGTTGATTAATATGAGTATTATAAATAGTTTAAAGATGATTATGAAGAAGAATAATCAATATTAGCAGATGAATCAAATAAAAAATTAATAAATTCACCTTATAAACAACAAATTGAAAATAGTATATTAGGTGATATTTATAACAAAAAAGTTTAAAAAGAATTTTTAGATAAAAAAAGATATCCATTCTTTGTTGAAAATAATGCTGATGTTTGAATTGGATTAGCTTTTAATCTTGATTGGTATACTCTATATAGTCATGTTAAATAAAGTTGTATACTAATATGCATGATGATTCTCAATTTTCTAAGTCATATTTGGTATCAAAAATGAAAATCTTATTTTGGTTGGTATAATACCTGGCCCAAATAAACCAAACACAAAGCAATTACAAAATTATTTTCAGCTAATAGTTAATAAGCTAAAGCAACTTTGAAGCCATCAAATATTTAAAACTACTCAATATTCTATTGGGTGTATATTTCATTGCATATTGATTCAAATTGCATATAATACCAGCTGCATATAAGGTATATTACAATAATAATTATATAATAAGTTTAATTTTTAATAATTAATTATCTAGTTTTTGTTAATTATTTAATTATTTATATAGATTACGGGACTAGCTTCACATTTTTCAAAACATGCTTGTAGCAAGTATACTAGAATTTTTTCATACTTTCTAAAAACTTCTAAACTTTATTATTCTAATTACATTCAAGAAGATCTACTATTAACTAATGCTGAGCATAGACAAATAGTATTACAATATAAAAATAGTAATATAATAATACAAAAAAATTATTTCAACAATATGAAATTCAATGGACTTGTCTTTTAGAATTGCTATATTTAGATATTCCTCAATTTACTATGATTAATCTTATGCATAATATATTTTTAGACACAAGTAAATATATAGTACAGCATGTTTAGATGAGTGATAATTCACCAAAACATAGTATTAAACAATTGTATGAAATTCAAAACCAAATTGATACAACTCCTTTACTAGCTAACATGGGATGTATAAAATTTAAAATTATATCAGGTTTTAATACACTTATAGCTAATTAATAGAAGATTTGAGTTTTAGTTTATTCAACTTATGTTTTGCATCAATTTCTTAATGAAAATGATCAATAATGTTGGCAAGCTTTTGTTACTGCAGTATCAATATAGAGCCAAAAAAATTAAAACTGAGACTAAAATTGAAGCTAGTTATGCAGCTATGATGGCATTCTTACAAATATGCTGAATAAATTTATGACAAACACTTTTGCTTTCCAATATTTATATAAGCATTTAGAAGAATGTATATATGATTATGAGCCATAGTATTTATTCTGGTGTTTTGCAAATAAACGTTATAATAGGCAAGTTTTATTTATTTTTTTAATAATTATAAAAATTTTATGATTGTATTTATTAATTTTACTTATTTTTAGAAAACTTGGCTTATTTTCAACTCAAATCATAATATGAAACTCGAAGTACTTGAAAATTTTAATTATTCAACAAATAAAAGCAAAAGCTAATTACTATTTACTTCAAGAATTTTTATTGTCTTTGAATCTAATTTTTCAGGCTAAAGTGAAAAAACTGGAACTTTAGAACACTATAATTTTATAGTTCAAGAAGTATTAGAATTTTGTGATATGTCTGGTGGATTATTTAATCATATTGTTACTGGCTCAAAACAATTTTCTAGATATTTTGCTAGACCTTTTTATAAAATTATCTTATTAGCTAAAATAATTAAGTTTTTTGTTTAATATTATTTAAATATTTATATAAATTATAGCTTTTATAATAAAAATTAACTACCAAAATCAAATCAATCAATTCTTGTTTTCTTAACAGACTATCAAGCAATGGCTATTAAGTTTAGAAATGAAATATATAGTTCATTTTTTTCACGTTTCAATTTAAATTCAAATATACTTGTACAATGGCAGTTAAATAATAGTAAAAGAATTAATTGGCCAGGAAAGATCAAATTTTTTTAAAATATTATATATTTTTATCAAATTTAACAATTGCGACTATCTATTATTTTGCTATAGTCAATTGGTACAAGAGAGATCAACAAAAGCAAAGTTACTTTTATATTAAATTATATGATAGTATATCAAAAGATATATTATCTACAAATGCTAATGGAAATTATTATGCTGAATTATGAGAAATCAATTTATTAAGTGGGGATTTGAAAATATAATTCCAATTCAAAAAAATTATTTGTTGATTTGTTAGAAGTGATAAGTTTAAATTATCTAGAAATAAAAAAAAATTTATTGTTATACCATTAAATCGAAAGTTTTCAGTATAACAGTATATATTAATTTTTATTCTTATAAGATTTAATTGAAGTATATAAAATTCAATACTGATTAAATATCTGATATTAGATAATTACATCAATCCAAACAATATATATTTTTACATTTATTTTTTTATTTTACTTATTCTTATTTCTAACTTAATATCTGATATTACTATAGTAAACAAAACTAATTTAAATATTCTTTCTGCAAATATTACAAGTTTAACTCAAACTGTAAATAAAATAAGTTTATTATAGCTTCTTCTGATATTAAAAACCAACTTGAAACAACAAAAAAATCTATCAAATCTTTGAAATGTTGGCTTGATATTTATGAACAAAATCAGAGTAAATTTATAACTTCTATGCAATATATTAGTAATGAACATGGAATTAAAATACAATATATTAAAGATATCTTAATGTTTACTACTACAATATTAGAAAATTTCTCAACATTAACATCAGCAATTCAAACCACTATAAATAATATATTATTTTATATTCAAAATCATAATGACAATATTAATATTTTAAATATAATCAATAATTCTTTACATGCTATTTCTATAGCAAATCCTATACTTATTGCAAAAATTTATGACAAGATATATTATTTTAATAGGTTTGAAGATCTTGAAGATTCTGAATTTCAAACACTCAACAATAAATATGTATATAACTTTGAACTTGGCTCTAAGAATCGAAAAAACAAAAAAATTACTCAAAATTACATTGGACTTTTTATTAAAGAATTTGATACTTAGTTGAAAGAAACATGTATTTATTTTTTTATCATTATTTAAAAACTTATATTTATATTTAAGTCTATTTTATCTCACACATCTAACTGCACTTTCATACCTTCTTTTCAACCTACTGGGTATAATCTTTTTGCCTTTTAAACTAATCTTATAAGTAAATCCTCCAAACGCTAAATACTTACTTGTACTAACAATAAAATTATTATTGGACAAATTTGCGAAACTTTTCATCAATCAAGCATAGTTTCTATCAACCATTAGCAACACAATATCAAAACCTCACTCCTATCTTGTTATCCTCTCTTTTCTATTTCGTATAAACCCTGTCTAGGCTGCAGCCTTAATTCTAACTATATTGCTAATTACTGCATATTGAAGGTGTTCTCTATTCTTTCTACCCAATTTTTAAAATGAAAATCCAATAATTAACTTAAGCTTAATGCCAACTATATCAATTTTATCTTATCTGCTTCTATTAAAAACCTACCTTATATTTCTTCTTTACTATCTATTAACATTTCTAATTCTCTTATACCTATACTTTTTCATAACAATAATATCTCTGGCAATTTTACTCAAATTGCTCTAGTTAACAACCCTCATCAACACTTTACATTTTATACAGATGGCTCTGTTAAAAACTTTGGTACTTACCAATGCACTATAGGCATTGGCTAGGCTCAAATCCATAATAACACTGTAATTTATAACTTTTCTGCTCAAATTATTAACTGGCCCTTATCTTATAAAGCCAAACTCTTTGCTATCTTATCTGCTATCTTAACCCTTTCTCACAACTCCTTTGTTAATATTTATACAGACTCTTAATTTGTAATCTCTAAATACAACAAACTTATTTTAAATTATTACTTTTCTTCTAAATCTTTTAAGTTCAACTCTTGGCCTATCTGGCATATACTTTTTAATTTACTCAAAGGTAGAGCTAAAACTATCATGATATGGTCCTCCCAAAATCGCAATCAAGAATAGTCACACTTTTTTCACTATATTGATTGGAACTCTACTTGGCTTTACTTCAAAAAAGCTTATCTAACTTTACCAACATTAAACTCAATTATCTTAAATCTTTTAAAATTAAAATCTTGCTTAACAACTTACCCACACACTTCTACTATCTCTCTATACTTTCTAATTTATTCTCATCCTCTAACTGCTTTCAATGCAACCTTTCTAACTCTTCATCTTATTGTTATACTTGTCCTAACCACAATCAACTAACTCAAATTATTAACTCCTGCAACGATAAAACTGTTTCCAAATTCAATCTCAATCTCTTACTACTCAAACTTAACTATCTGAAATATACTATTTCCTCTTACCTATCTTTCTCCTTTTAGCCTTCTTTACTCTATCCATACTCTCTCTATTTTACTCTCAAAGATCTTATCTCTATCCTACTTATCTAATCTGTACAAACCTTTGATATACTATACTTTCTTGCTTTATAGCTTATTATCCAAACCCTTCTCAAAGTTTCTAACCAACTCTATAACCAAATATGGAAAACATATTGTATTAACTTTTCTATATGGAAAAGAATATACCAAATCTCTTCTAATCTCTCTCATAACCAATCTTCTTATCTATACCTCAGTTAATAATATCAAAGATATGTAGAAATGTATAAAAGTTTGTGAGTTTAGATTGATTGATTTTCTACTTTGGCGTATAATACAGAATATAAAAATTAACCTCTCTGTAAATTATCATTTTAAACCAATATTGCCATGACA